GTCTGTGAAAGACCGACACGAGATAGATTTTCGCGCGTGATTGCAAGTCACGGCAGACAAAGGCAGTCTGAGTAATCGCCGTGACTCTGGACGCGCGGACTCCCACAGTACATCCGGCAAGACCGAGGGCGCCTTGTAGCGACGTAGGAGGCCCAGTTGATGCCAAAACAATTTGAGTGATAAATCGATCAGGAGAGTGAACGTGACGTCCACTCGGGTGATGTATATAGGGCGAATAGAAGAGGAGTTAATATGGTCTGTGATAGAAGTGTTAGACGGTGCAATAGCGGGTTAAGGAGTACGAGAAGCAGGGGGAGGGAAAACAGAAGGCTCGTCTGGCGAAAAGTCCAGGACAGGAGCTTTGAGTCGGTCAACGCTCACGACCTCCTTGCGTGTGCCACGCTGGATTCGGAATGTTTGCGTACACAGAGGGACAACCCGGAATGGGACATCCTAGGGCAATTCTAACGGCCAACAGACTCGATCACACCGTAGAAAGACACAAAAGCATGTCGCCAAGTCTTTCCCGAGATAAGACTCAGAACAGGGGGCCTGGACGGAACCGGAGATAGTGTCCGCAAGAACTGCCGGAGTCAATGCAAGAAGTTAACAGGATCCTCAACGGCACCTTGAGGGAATGGCGAGATCACCTCACTTGGGAGTCGGGTAGTGTCGCCGAAGAACAGTTCAGCGGCGGTACAGTGAAGTTCCGACTTGAGGGAGGAGCGGATACTTTACAATATCAGAGAGGAATGGTCCGTCGAGTTCTCCGGATCGGCCGCGGCGCATAGGGAGTCCTTCAGCTGGTGGTAAAAGCACTCGACAATCCCGTTGGCAGCCGAGTGATAGGCTGCAATGCGAATGCGAATACAGACTAAAAGTGACAGAAGGGACTGGAAAAGATGAGATTCAAACTGGGCATCGTGATCGGTCGTGATTTTGGAGGGAGCGCCAAAAATGGCAACCCAACGACTGAAGAAGCCTGTTACCACCATGGAACCCTGGACATTAAGTAGAAGGATAAGCTCCGATCGCCGGCTGAATCTGTCCGCTCAGATGAGCAGATAGCAACAGCCATTGGCCAGGGGCAAGAGGCCTACAATGTTCAGATGGAAATGACTGAACCTTGCACCAGAGTCGAGGAAAGTGCCCATGTCTGGCTTGTGCCGATGGACGTTGCTTTGTACACAGCTGAGGCAATGCCGTGTCCAAGCCTTGAGGTCCCCTTGGAACCCAGGCCAGACGAAGCGGTCAGAAACCAACTTGTCAGTATCTCGACACCCAGGGTGAGATAGGTCCTGTAGGGAGGAGAAAAGAATGCAGCGAAAGTGTGGTGGCACGCATTGACTGTGGGAGGCAGTGGAGACTCCACAGATAATGGTGCTGTTACCAGTAGTCAGTGGT